CTTGGATCAACTATCAACACTCATGGAAGCAGCAGTCAAGAAATCAAAGACATATTGCATTAGGCAAATCTGCTGCACAAGACCTTTTTAAAGTGTTGAAGAGCAAAGGTGTCAGCTTGAGAACTAAGGTGTGCCTGACGCAATCCATGCTGTTTTCAATCACCTCATATGCATGCGAAAGCTGGACAGTGAATAAGGAAGACCGTAGAAGAATTGATGCATTTGAGTTACAGTGTTGGAGGAGAATACTGAAAGTGCCATAGTCTGCCAAAAGAACTAACAGGTCTGTGTTGGAAGAAGTGCAGCCTGAGTGCTCCTTGGAGGCCAGATGGCCAAACTTTGTCTCTCATACTTCAGGCATGTTGTCAGGAGGGACCAATCTCTGTAGAAGGATATCATGTTTGGTAAGATGAGGGGTCAGAGAAAAATAAGAAGACCCCCAGCGAGATGAATTAGCAAAGTGGCAGCATCAGTGGGCTCAAGCATGGCAACAATTGTGAGGTTTGCCCAGGACCAGGTAATGTTTCATTCTGTTGTGCATAGGGTCGCTATGAGTCAGTACTGACTCGATGGCACCTAATAACAACAACAGTCAGTCCACATAGCAACAACTGTGCATTTGGTACAGGACCAGGCATTGTTTCATTCTGTTGTGTAAAGGGTTGCTATCAGTCAGTACTGAATCAATGGCAGCTAACAACAACAGACAGCCAAAAGCAGCCCTGGGGGCACTATGGTTAAATGCTTGGTTTCCAGTGTAAAAGTCAGTGGTTTGGGCCTGCTCCACAGTTCTAAGAGAAATGGCAATCTGTTTGTGTAAGGATTCAAGCCAAGAAAACCTTATGGGGCAGTTCTAATCAACTCAACAGCATGTGACAACAGTCAGCCCACATATCTGAGCAGTGGTCTAAGTTTGGTGTGTATCTCATGTACACAGGAATCTACTGTTGTTAGGTGCTGTGGAGTCAGTTCTGACTCATAGGGACCCTGTATAGGGTTTCTGAGGAGCTACTTTTGGGTTTGAGCTGGTAACCTTTTGGTTAGTAGTTCAGTGTTTATCCTACAGTGCCACACCAGGACTCCATCTGTATGTCTATTTGTAGGTATATTTCTAAGTTATAGCTATGTTTTACTATATCAATATGTCTATGGTAAAACACACATGCTAAATAAGTTTATGAAATGAAAAGCAACAATGGAAATTTTAGCATTTTCCATGCTAGAATATGGAAACTACTGCTGTAGCAATCAGTTGATCTCTTCTTCTTGAACTACGAGGCTAATTGCCTTGCCATCACTAAACCAAACCCAAAACCAGCACCGAGTCAATTCAGACTCATAGGACCCTGCAGGGTACAGTAGGACTGCTCCCTAGTGTTTCTGTGAATGCAAGTCTTTACAGGAGCAGACAGTCTCTTCTTTCTTCCACACACTGGCTGGTGGGCTTGAACCAACAATCATGTGATGTGGAGTCCAATGCCTAGCCCACTGTGCCACCAGGAGCCCTTAAAGTTTCTTATTAGTAAGGAAAGGGCTTCCATCCAGAGTCCTGGTGTGGCACTGTAGGATAAGCAGTTGACTGCAATGTGGGTTTGAACCACAAGGTCGGCAGTTCAAATCCACCAGCCACTCCTTGGAAACCCTATACAGTGTTGAACTGACTCGATGGCACTTAACAAACCAAACCAAACAAAAAAGAGTTCCACCCCTGCAAAATTCTATGATGCGGCGATTTGTTGGCAGCTTCTCTTCTTGCTGAAACCAGTTAGAATGAGTTCCTGAGCATTCCCTATGCAGAGGAGTAACATTCCTGCCCTGGAAGAGTTCCGGCTTTAAGGGCTGAGAGCAAGAGAATCCCTTCTCCTTCCTTACGGATATGTCTGCAGTCAGTCATGCTAAGAAGCTCATCTTCTCAATCTAACGGAGGCTATCTATCTGAGAGGGCTCCTGGTGTGGTGCTGTAGGATAAGCACTGGACTGTTAGCCACAAGGTTGGCAGTTCAAAACCAGCAGCCAACTTGAGGAAGAAAGATGAGGCTGTGTGCTCCCATTCAGAGTCACAGTCTTGGAAAGCTCGTGGAGTAGTTCTACCTGTCCTGTAGGTTGGCTCTGAGCCAGAACTGACTCTATGGCAGTGGGCAGTCAGCACATATAGGAATGTAACAATCGCTGGGTGAGGGGTTGCTATTATGTCCGTCTTCATAGGAAAACAATTATGGCCTAGAGAGATGAATTAGCTTACCAAATCACACTGCTAATGAGTAGCAGAGCTGGAATGTGACCCCAGACAATCTGCGATCTGGGCCCATGCTTTTAATAGCTATTCTATAAAATTTCCCTTTGTAGTTGTTGTTAAGTGTTGTTGAGTTGGTTCTGACCCATAGCGATCCTGTGTAGGGTTTCCGAGGAGAAGCTGGTGAGTTTGAACCCTCAACCTTTTGTTTCAAACCGACCTTGCTGTCAAGTGCTTATCCTACAGTGCCACACCAGGATTCCTCCCTTTGTAGTAAAACTTAACAAAACTTATAAACTAAGGGCAGAAATAACAACAAATAGCAAGATCAGAGTGTGGCAAGACTATAAGCTAGGTTGTTTTAAAATTTTTTTATTAGAGAACCATACAAAAGTAGAGAAACCTCACTTCAATGTTTCAAGCAGGGCTTCGAACTGGTTCAAACCGGTTCAGTCATGACCACTGAAGTGAAACAGAAACAGACCCAAATTTTAGAGATTTGAATGATGCAGGATGGTAACTGGGGGGTAGGGGGTGAAAGCTGGAAGACCTGGAATGGAAGACTCAGAAGAGACACATGAGCCCTTTTGGGAGTCTGATTCAGGAGACTGGATTATTGTCAGGACTGTGGAGAACAGCACACATTCAAAGTAGCATGCATGGCCGGCGCCATCTTTGAGCAGGGTGCCACTGTTTCCAACTTGGTTGCTATGCACTATGCACACTGACCTTGTTTTCTAAGAAGATTAACCTTATAGCAGGGTGTTGGCCTTTAATTTTTCCCACTCTGCTTATTCTTTCCGGTTCACCCACATTTTACAAATTTGGGTCTACAATGGTTTCACTTTGGTTGGCCATGCATGAGTGAACTGGGCAGAATGGTTTCAAGACTAGGCTTTGAATAGGCAGGAAGGGAAGTGCAGGTGAAGTTAATGGCCTTTAGGAAGACTTGATGCTAGGGAGAGCCAAGCCTGGTGCAGAGGGTGGTGAGAATATGATCACCAGGGCTCATGTGCATATTTGCAGGAAAAGGAACTCTTGACCGCTTTCTCATGAGGATGTGTGTAAGGAAGTCCAGAGAAGTTGAAGTAAGAGGTAACTTGGTTCTCACTCCCTCTCTTTCCCAACCCAGGTTCCCTAGGCACTGCAGGCCGTGTCTGCAGCAAGACATCTAAAGGGACAGACGGTTGTGAAATCATGTGCTGTGGCCGAGGGTATGACACAACCCGAGTCACCCGTGTCACCCAGTGTGAGTGCAAATTCCACTGGTGCTGTGCTGTGCGGTGCAAGGAGTGCAGGAACACTGTGGATGTCCATACGTGCAAGGCCCCCAAGAAGGCAGAGTGGCTGGACCAGACCTGAACACATGGATACCTCACTAGTCCCTCCACTTCAAACCTTCTAACTCAAAAGCACAAGATCCTTGCATGCACACCTTCCTCCACCCTCGACCCTGGGCTTCCACAGCTTCTACTGAAGGACTTGGGGAGTGGTGCGGAGGGACTCTGGTGCCCTGGCTGGCTCCTTTGTCCTGGGAAGAAGTTGATAGAGGATGTAAGGAACTGAGCGGCTTCCTGATCCCCCTGATTAGAAGGGAGAGTGGATGAAGTAGGGGGTCTTCAGAGTGATATGAGTTGCACTAAAGCACCTGGCCGAGGCTTACTTCCCCTTTTCCTTGCCTTGGCCTCCTGACACTTGTGTGTGTAAGGGGAAGGACACCTGCAAAGAGATGAGTTTTGTTCTTGCCTGGTTAAGGGTAGATGGAACTGAGGTGAAACCACATGTCCCTTCCCTCCAGTCAGTTTGAGTAGTCTGCCTCTTATCCAAAAAGAAACTCTGAGGCTTCAACAGCCTTCCATTATCAAGATCCTGAGACTGCAAGACAGAGCTAGCCATAGTGGACAAGGTTCCATTCGCATGCTCAGATGTTCATAAACTGCAGTGTTTTATAGGGAAAATAATCATATAACTACACAAAAACACATTCTTTGCCAACCCCTCCCTCTCTTTTTCAGCACTGTCTCTTTTGCTCACTTGCTGCCCGTTAAAACGTGTGGTGGCGTGCAGTGGGTCTCAAGCCGAACCAATCTTGAGAACACCCAGGGACACTCCTGGGAGGTAATGATTCAGTAAGTCTGGCTAGACCTTGGGATTTTTCATCTTATTTATTTTTTCCCTTTCCATGAGTATTTCTGGTGGTCAGCTAGGTTTGGAAATCACTATGTGAGAGATAGTAGACTCGTGGAGGGTAGGCTCTCAAGGCCCACATGAGGCACTAGAGTCCACTAGAGAGGCAGCTTTCTTCTTTAGAAAAGGATCCTAGCCTTTCCTGCTGGGAGCAGGAGCCAGCAACCATGGAAGGAAGGAGAACTGGGGATTGGAAGCAAGCTGATGAACAACTTAGAAGACAACAATCTTTATTTAGTGACTGCAAGTCTTGGTGATTTTTAAATGTCCACTCTACATTTGGCTCAGATAGTCAGGGGTTCTCTTCTACCCGTTGCTTATCTGGGCATACAGTAGTGGAATCTCTAGAGATAGCCAGCTTAGTGCTAGAGGGTAAGACAGAGTTTCCCAAACCTAGATATCTTTCTGTTATGTGTATTGGACAGTAGTTGTCGCTTACCCATTGATACTAAAAAAGGAGAAGAGTGATACAGAATTTTGCTATTATGACAGAGCAGGGTTAAAACTGTAGTGATGCCATTTAGTGTTTTTAATGTTTTAAGCAAGATACCTAAATTGTAAGCTGTAGTTTTCCCATCTTTAAAATGAGGGAAAGAGCCTATCTCAGTATTGAGTTTTAGTTCTGCCCCAAACTCCAGCCCAAATCTACCAAACTCCTGACTGGTCTAGCCCATCGTCACCTCTCTAGGAGCTGTCAGTTTAGGACTATAAAATATTGAAAGCAGACTGCAGATTACGGAGCCTACACAAGAAACTCTGCAGATAGGCCCCACTTTCCTTTCCCAGCTTTCTCTCCAGCATCCCTTGGGGTCCTTACATGATTGTGGAGCAGCTCCACTCTGCACAGGCAGCCAGAGGATAGGGAAGCTGTAGCCCTGGGCCGTGGGGGCAGATTTATTTGGACGATAGGACTAATATTTGTGTAACCTGCTGAGACCTGTGTGGGAGAGTTTAAGGTGGTTTTTCTGTCGGTGAGGGGTTTTGCTCCGGTTTCACATCCATTAACACAAAACATGAGCTAGTCAGGGCCCTTGCGGTCTGTGGTGAGGGGATTCCTGTGGAGAAATGGGACTGAGTGAGTCAGGCTAGGGGAATGTCTTCCTTGCTGAGTGGAGTCAACTGGATAACTGATGAGCCAATGGTAGGATTAGGGAGGGGGGAGCCAATGGTAGGATTAGGGAGGGGGGAGTAGGAGGGAAAGCAAAGGGCTTCTAACATCTTGAGCTGGGACTAAGAGGAGGAGAGCATTAGGTTAGTGGGGATAGAAGGTTCTTGGTCTCACTGAACTCAATATAGGTTTGAATGGTTTTTCAAACGGGTATTTACCTGGTATGCCAAGTTACTGGAAAGAGAGCCTCAGGTCCCAGCCAACTCCTGTTCTTATGAAAAAACATAAATGGTGGCATAGGCTTTCCATGGAAGTCAACCTAAAACTACCTGTGCTCTACTAGCTAATTCTTTGGTGTCCATAGGGCGAGAAGTATGAAAAGTGAAATGGCTAGCAAGAGAAAGGAGGTCCATTTGAGCCCCATTAACAAGGCTCTGTGGCCCTGAGAAAGAGTGATGGCCAAGCAATTAATTTATCTTCTTAGTCTTTTGCTTGCCTCTGCATTCCGATTGGCTTTAGACAACTGGCATCCACTCTGCTCTATACAAACAGAAACGAATTTATTTAGAACAAGCAACAAATTGAGAACTTTATTTGGTACAGTCTGGGCTCTATTTAGTTCTACTGCTACTTTGGTACTCTCCCTCTCCCATAGCGTCTCCATCAATGGAGGCCTGGCCCTCGGATGAGTTGTCTCTTAGCCTCTCCCCTGTCTTCCATGTCTTCCTGTTGTTCCTCATTTCTCTGAATATTTAACAGGATTTAGGTATAAGGCCTTGCAGTATGTGCTGTTTGGATAAAAGGTTATTTTAAAAGATATGATTTCTACTCTTTAAGGATCTTAGAATCTTTTAGAGAAGGCACATCACTGAAGTGCCTCAGCTGCACAGACAGAGTCTCCTAAGTTAAAACTAAGGGTGCCAACCCAACCTAGCCCTGCAGGGATAAGAGCCACCAACCTTTATTATTTCCAGCCCTGAATAATAACATGAATCCACACTCATTCTTAGATTGATGCTGGAAACATGGAACCAGGAGCTTCAAATTCATTAAAAGACTCAAACATTACCCGGCCCTGAGGGTCTATTTGCACAAAGTCTTGCAGAGCTGACTCATGAACACTTACTGCCTCATTTCTATTCCTCCCTGCTCTGCTCCAGAGAGTGATTTCTCCTTTCTCTTACCTCCCTTAGCAAGAGCACCACTAAGTCCTTTGCCAGATTCTCAGACCCATTCAAGATACAGGTTTCTACATGGCTTAATAGAAGACAGATAATCAGGGCTTTTCCCCTCATCTTTTCTAAGGTTTTTATTTAAATGTCCTCAGTGGTCACAGAGCAGACGCCCAGCTTAGCTGGGGAAAAGGGAGGGTGTCAGGGAGAGTAGGTTTCTCATCCCTGGGAGGCCATCAGCCTCACTCCTCAGCCAAATTACAGCACCAGAGAACAATGTGATGCATTCCTGGGTAGGTCGGTGGGACCCTGGGCGCCTGGGCCTTGTGGAGAGAGGTGCCAGACACAGAGCTCTCCGTAAGCAATCCTGCAGAGCCGCCCCCTGGGTGTAGAAATGAAATACGGGAGAGCTTCACATTACACAGAGACCTGTAGCTCACACCTGGTTATTGATGGCCTTGGCGGAGGTCTCTGCCCCCACCCTCCACATGGGAACTGCCTGCTGCTTGAGGCCGGGGGTAGGGTGGGTGGGCATCTTTGCAGCAATGTTGGAAAACAAAGAGATGCTTCCTTTTAACACCAGTCTGCATACAACCATGGGACACACACACACACATGCGGGGTGCATATATACGGACATACACACAGTTTTTCTCAGGCTGCCTAAGAGTTCTAACCATCCTTTCACAAGCAAAACAACTAGACTTCAATAAAAGCCTAAAATCATACCAACAACAGGAGCCCAGCTATAACCAAGGAATGTTACAATGCTACAGTCAACATGCACACACACAGACAGATGTTCAGTTTGGGGAGTAGAGGGGGCAGAGATGAAAAAGGGAGAGAAGGGAACAGTGGAGAATTACCACCCAAGTAGAGTGGCTCAGACCCTACCACTTTGCATGGTGGGTTGCTTCTGGGAGATAGTGAGGTGCGTGCCTCCTCTGGTATGGATGATGGAGCAGCTTCCTATGACTGGCATGACATATAATGGTACCTGCTACACTACACGATGGATTGTTGTTTTGACTCTTACTAGGCTGAGAAATGGTAGCTCTCAGGTCCAAGAATGATCACGTGAAAGAGGCACTGGGGGAGAAGAAGAGGTGGTTTTACTAGGGTAAATGTGATGTCACAGTTGTCGCACTGAACTGCGCTTTTCCAGAAGCTGATACTCTCTATGGTTGGTGGGCGGGCTGCAGGTAATAGCCAGTGGGGTATCAGTAATATCACCAAAGGTGACAGAAGAGACAGAATTCATAAGCTCATCTTCTCACTTCCCATTCAGGACTTAAATGATCTCTGAGCATCTTTGAGGCGATTCCTCATTTATTTAAGATATATTACGCATTCGGAGTCCTGGTGTGGTACTATAGGATAAGCACTGGATGGCTCGTCAGAAGGTCGGCTGCTACTCTGAAACCTTAACTCCATGACACTTAACAGTTATTCATTCTGGATTTGAAAAGGCAAGGCAATCTCCCTTTCCTTAAGTCACCTAACTCTGAACTACGTTGGCTTAAAAACTATCTTTGCTCACTTTCACTTCTGTCTTATGAGTTTATGGATGGAGTAACTGGACATGGGTATTCTCTTTCCTTGACAAAAGTGAGTGAGTCTCACTAAACAGAGAAAGGCTAGGGTGAATAAAGAAGATCATTTAATCCACAGCTTGATATTCTTGGGCTTCCCCAAGAATAACAATGATGTTCATAAAAAGCTATTTGGTATACAACATTTCAGTATTCCTTACAACAACCTGTGAGGTAGGGATTCTTATCATTTACAGATGCTATTCAGAGCAGTTCAGTGATTTGTCCAGGGTCACATGGACAGTGAGAGGCTCAGTCAAAATTCAAACCCTAGTCTTCTGACTTCAAATCCTGTGTACTCTTCTCAAGGACTCAGGATCCCCCAATGTTAGGGATGCCAGAGTCCTAAT